GGTTGATTAGATGAAGAGGCAAGGGAAGGGAGCCGCAGCACCTGTGCTGCCGCCTTTATAGCCTGACACAAACTGGGACAATCCAGTGCGTGCCCTTCTCGAAGCCCAAAGTGTGGGATGGGAATCTGAGGCCAGACTGAACCGTTCCCTGAGAAACCTGTCAGGCCATTTACTACACAGTTTTCAAAGAAACAAATGGAAGGGGGCAAACGATATCCGGCCGAGAAGGCAGACAGGAAACAAAGGTGCTCATCCTGCTTCCCCATCTCCCCATCCAATCCCCTTTACCTGTTCTGGCTGCACAGGCACAGCTTCCATTCCTCCGCAAAGGTGAGATGAGGGAGAGGCTCCCTGCATATTTTCAATGCCTGCAAGGAAACATCTTTTATTCTTCACATGAAATTTATTCCCAACTTACTCAAAAAAGAATCTTCCTAGTCTGATCAACCAATCTTTCATGAATTCCACCCAGGAGGCCTAAAGGGCCATTCACTGGCTTTGGAAAGATGCAAAGAAGGGAGATCAAGAAGAAATGTGCTGACTGGGTCTTACCCTGTGACACGGCTCCTCCGATCCCCTCCAGCCTGTTCCTCGGGAGCAATGGCCTCTGCTTGAGGGACAAAGGAGAGTCCACTGCCAGAGGGGAGCCAGGGACAGATTCTGAAGAACCCTTTACAAAAAAACACAAAAACACAGAAGATACGGGAAACAGCGGAAATGGACATTTTATCAGAAGTGATGAAGGACTGTCCTTTACAAAAAGTAACTGAAAGATGGGACTTATTCTATAAATGTATTGAGTTGACAGACAGCGTATGAAGAGCATACATTGAAATGAGAACTTAAATCTGAAGGCAGAAAATAGTAAAAATAGTAATTTGGAATGTTGATATGGCAATACGTATAGAATGGATGTTACTATGTTATTGTTTCTCCTCTTCCCTCTTAACCTCAATTCCCCTTTCCTTTTTGTCACACCTTGTTAAAAATAAAAATTAAAAAAACAACACAAACACACAGAGAGCAAAGTCTGGATACCCAACACAGCAAGGGAGGAACAAATTTAAAAACTAACAGTAGAGGAACGAACATCAGATTTAGAAAGAAGAGTGGTAAATGGCAACTTATTAAAGAACTATAGACCTGAACTATCAACGGCTCCTCTTCCTCTTTCTTATCCACACTCTGGCTCAGGAGGAA